TGGCAGAGAGGAACTGAGGAGGTGGATGCATGTTGGCCAGAAAATGGAAGATATGTTTAATGGGATGAGTTTGAAAGGGCTACTAGAGAACTTGACTTAAAGGTAGCGACCACTGAATCAGCAGAAGCATAGAAGCCAATTGGGGAAAGAGGGACAATAAGAGGAGCAGAGTCAAAGAAATTGATGGATTGGGGGCTTAAAAAGAGATGAAAGATAAAGTGGTTAGTGATTTGTGGAGGAATGATTTATGTGCACACAGAGCAAGGGGCAACATATTAGTCTCAGTATTTAAGAAACAGAATCAAAACCAGGACATAGTAAAAAATCACTAGAGGTCTGCTAAAGCTGAGACAGTAGCTCATGCTTTGATGGGAAAGAAACGACAAAGAAGAAGGGACAGTGAGCAAGAAAACAGGCAGGAAGTTTCGCCTTAAGTCAGCAAAGGCTTGATGGCTTAGCTGGAGAACTACAGCAGATTTCTGTAATATGGTTAGGGTTGTAATTACATTTGCAGCCAAGATGCAAAACATTTCCCTGTATTCCTCCTCTGAAACATGCCCCCTGCAATCTAAGGGCAATGTCCTTTCTGAGCTCCTAAGCAGAGGGCTTATAGTGCTTTAGCACTGGATTCTCATCACAGTAGTGTGGCAGTGAAATATCACTGAATTAAGTTGTGTTACATCCACTTCTGTTTTGCAGAAACAAGGAGAGGTTCTGGCCTCATTTTAAAGAAATGCAAAAAATGCATAACGCATGTACTCATCTGTCGTAAAACTCTGACATTTACTCTTCCCCATTTCCTCGTTGCCATAAGAAAATTATTACCTAGTTCTACACAACTGTGCTGATAAAGTTAAACAACAAACTCATAAGGTGAGTTTTTTCTGATAAAGCAGATAGAAACTGGATGCATTGACAAACTCTTAAGGACAGATTGGAACTCTAGCTGTAAAAACAATACTTCTGTACCAAACGCCACACAATTTTGTAATGAGGGAAAATGTAATCCCATTTTAAAGTAAAGGATTACAAATCTTCTAGTAATTATATCACAGGATTTTAAATGACAGCTGCTGAATTTATTGTTGTTGGTATTTACGTACTGCACTTGGAAGTTAACATAAAGATGAAATTAATCTTTTTTTTCCTTGGTATCCAAGGTACCCTGTACAGGTTCTGCTATTCCTTAAAATAAGCTCCTATATCCAGCAACCAACACATACTTTTTAACTGAAGCAAAATTGAACGAATGGTTGTGGTGTGAGTGGTTTGATGGGTGAGGACATAAAGGCTTCAGTTTTAAGAAGGCAGTTAACTCTAAACAGAAGGCTCAGAATGAACATTTTTTTTTTTTTTGCGCAGAACGGATACGTATAATAAAACCTCCATGCAGATTTTGCTAAGACTCACAATAATTGTCACTGCTGCTTAAAATGGATAAAATTGAGCATTTAATGCAAATATCTTCTCCTTCAGGAGTACACATTTATTTTTAGTTACCTGTGGATGTTGTAAGAATATTTACTGGGTAATAACTGAAGCACATTCAGCTGGTAGATAATTTTTCTGATCTAAAGAAATCAAATATATCAAACTGCACATTAATCAATGCCATTTTGAATAAGGCAACCAGAAAAGACCATCTCAGTTATATTTATTATATGTAAATAAAATTTCTACATGTGTAAAGTAGGTATAAGCTAATTTTTTAAATCATTAAACCAAAAAAGCTCAAAGAATAATAGTAACTGAACTTTATAATTTTCTTACTACTAGCCATTCCATTTTACATGATGACAGATGTAATCAGGTCGTATACCTTTAAGCTGGGTAGGACTAAATTGCTTGATTTGCAGTAGTACAAGTATTAAAATGAATGTTAAATAATTTTTCCCTTGAAAAACAGTGTAATGTTTGTTAGATGTATGACAGTGTCTTCTGATACTTCAAATAACAAATCTGGCCTGAAGACTCATTCCATCAGAAATGCTAAATATAATTAATCCCAGTAATTAAATTGCAAACATTTGCTTAATAAAATTAACAGCTTTAGCCAGACCTACATGAAAAATTATATAATTTTTCCATTTGAATATCAGTGGTTTAACTCAAAAATAATTAACTGCATATTAGAGACATAGTCTTTTGATTTTCTTTGAATAGAGATTGTTCAAAGAAGTTATACCACATTCTAATGATGGTTACACAGTTCTACCACAACCAAAAAGGAACTAAATAGTTAATTATGCTGAATGTGAACAGCAATTGGATTCTAAATTAAAGACCTTTACATGGTTGATTATGAAAGATATTTCATAATTTTGTAAGGCTACCTAAAAAAGTTTTCTTTCTTTAATACTGTGAGGAAATATATGAGTACAGCTATGCCCTTTTCTTCTGCTGAAATATAGTTATTGAACAGTCATTTAGTTGAAAATGATCAGATTTAATAATACTGCCTGATTCTCAGCTGCTGTTGATTGCTCTGGTAGAACAAGATTAAAAACTTGTAAGTGTGAAATCTGTTTCTCTGAAAGCAAAAAAAAAAAAAAAATGGACTACTTACAAGGAAAATATGTGTAATGTAGTCAGTTTAACTGATCAATTTAAATATTTAAATGTGTGGCAGATTTATATTCTGTACCTAAAAATATATCCAAGCTACACTAAGAGTCAAGCCATTTCTCAGATTGCATACTTTCAATTCCTCTATTGTAGTCATAACTGTGATGTTAATTACAAAGTAAAGACATGATAATGCACAAGTACTTCTTCCATCTTGAACCAGTACTGGCATTGGTGTGGAACCAGTACTGGCAGGCAGAATGTTGAAAACCATAACAGCAAAACAATCAAATAACTGGATTCAGAGCTGACAGAACATATGGAAAAACTATAAATGTCATTTGGCCTTTTATGCCTATTGTTAGGTTACTCAATTTAAATAATGCTTATTTCAATTACCTACTTTTATCTGGCTCCTTTTAGAGCAGTGAAAAGGAGTGCCCACCAAATTTTAGGTATAGCCAGGAAATTGCACATCTGCATGCAAAACTGCCTATCAGCCTATCCAAACTGGCCTGCTATTTTTGCAGGAAAGGGACTTTACCGGTGCAGAGAGTGCTCTTTCTGAAAATCTCAAAGTTACCACAAAAATAAACATTATTTTAAATTTTACATTTTCACTCAAGGTTCTTGAAAAACCATAGTCCTCATGATCAAAAGTATTAATTCAGTATGAAGCAAGTAATAAATCCCTAACTACTGGCTTACTCACCTATTCCCACAAGAAAGCCTGCAGGAAGAAATAAAGATATCACAGGAAACTTTTCCTGCTAAGAATATTCTGGCTTTTTGCCACTGAAAGAGCACAGAGCATGATTTTGGGGACAGAATTTTAATTCTGCTGGACAGGACATGGGCTTACCAGAGCTAGGTGACAGGAAAGGCTTCATGTCTATACAAGAGATCTGAAGTAAGAGAGGAAAAGAGATGATGGAGAGGAGGAAGAAATTATGTACTTTCCTCTTAGTCTTAACTCACATAAATTTTTGTTCTGCTGTCAGAACCTCATCCTCTCGTAATGAGGGAGAAATCTGCTGAGAGATCATGGAGGAAGCAAAACAGTATCATCCTATACGTTGACATAAGGATAGACGGAAAAGTGATACATATTCCTGGGTTGCAGTCTTTGCCAATCTATGGTGGTGTGACTGTGACATCTTGTAACAAGTGTAATGATGTCTATTTTTTCTCCATCAAAAACATTTTAAACGTGATTCACACACTTATTTTCTTCCATTGCTAGTCTCAAATACATGACTGATCCAGGTGAAGATTCCAAAAGCACCAAAAGTCTCTTTTTAGACAACATCCAGATTACTTAAAAATCTGAAACTGCACTTTTAAAAAGTTCTGCTGTAATCTACGTGTATAGGCCAAGGTATTCAGTAGCATTTATGAATAAATTTTCACTGATCTTTAAGACAGGACTTCATCCATCCAATACTTTTTTAAATGATACCATTAGATGCTTAATCACACAGGTGCTTTGAAAACAGGAGTTGCATAAATCACATAACTAGTTTTTTAGATATCACTCTGAGTGTTTTTCTATTACCACAAAATCGTTGAAAGCTTTATTTAGTTTGCATGGCTTGAATCCTAATGTCATTATAAAGTAAACTGACTTTTCTGCAAATATTAGAAGCTTAAAATTGAAAATCTTAAATTTTAATTAATCATTTTTAGTAGTTGCAAATAAAACTTGCCCTATATAATTAAAAAAAAATAAAATTACAAGATGTCCCTAGCATTCTGATAGCATGGCTTTGGTACTGTTATTATTATATTATTGTAACAGCATTCTGTGTGAGGTAGTTGAAACACTTGTTATTGTGCAGCTCGTAAGCAAACTTTTCTTGCATTTTATTAAAACTCCTTCCTCTGTAAATAACAAAAAGCTAAACGAATTTATCAAATGCCTTAAAGCAGTGATTCTAAATCTTTTTCTTCCACATCTTTCAATATGTATTTTTTAGTTCTTCCAGGATGGGGGACATTGTAACTTTTGGGGTGAGGAGACAGGGCACACAATGTTTTCTGGAGAACATGTCGCTGGGATGGACTAGGAGACAAGGGGGAGATTCATCTGGGAGGTAGCGGTCAAGGCATGGAAAGGACTAACAGGAGAGAGCAGCACAGCAAGCTGGATAACACAGAGCCCAAGATCCTACCGCAACAGTTTCTCCTGAGCATGCGAGACTCAGCAGGATAAAACTTATGGCTCACAGAAGACATGGATTCCCTCCAGTCTCTGCTGCACCATCTCCAACCCCCAAATCAATACTCCGTTGCCCCTGTTGTGTTCTCCTGCCGCTGTGTCACCTACAGTGTATGTTCTGCAACCCTCGAGAAAGATGGTCAGTCCTCCCGCTTTGAGTACCTCCATCTCAAAGAAAAGTAAAAAAAAAGAGTAGTCACAGAACACAAAATCTTACCTCAACAATATCCGAATTCGTTCGACTCTCATGCGGCTCATTGTACTCAGTGTATTTCAGCAACACTTTGTCCATATCAGTGCTGGCATACTGGAACAGTTTGTTGGTGCTGTTGAAGATGATCAGAGCAATCTCACAGTCACACAGAACACTCAGCTCATAAGCCTTCTTCATCAACCCAAATTTCCTCTTTGTAAATGTCACCTGGAAAAAAAGAAAGAAAAAAGTCCACAAAAATCCCCAAGCTGGTCTCTGTAGTCCTTTTTATTTATTTATTTATTTATTTTTAAATATAATATGTGATGGCTGTAGTCTTTGAATTGAACACGTTCAGAAGACAAATGCATAAATATAAATATAGTTCCAAAATGGAATATAAGTATGTGTGTGTGTTATGTAACTGAGGAAATTCTCACTAATTCTCACTGCACAAAAGTCCAGGTACAGGTAAAGAGCATGGCACACTTTCATTAAGTAGCACTGTGAAGTGTTGATACTGCATCTTTCCCTGTAACTTTTTAATTCATACACCTTTATTCTGCATACATCTTTCCCATCAATATTTTAAAACTGCACCTCGGATTTGCAGCTGTAAATAATTTGAACACATGCAGTCAATTCTTATTTTTGATAGTGATTGACTTTCATTCCATGCCCCCCAACTCCTGCAAGATTTTTGGTGAAGAAATTATTTCATACAGATTTTAAGTTGTGTAAAAGAGATATATTATTCACATAAACATACTCACAATAGTTTTGAAGAAAAGTCTAGCATTAAAAATTAAAACACTCATGCGAGAAATGAGACTTATAAACCATGAATGAAGAACAAACAGTAGCTGGCCAGAAACAAATACCACCTTTGAAACAGGGTCTTTTCTGAACACAGATGTAGCATACTTTATTTCATTTCAAATTCGATGCTTAGAAATACAAGTTGTCATTTTTTACTACAAAGGACTTTGGGTCATATTATATAGGAAAAAATAGAGATGTGTTTTTAAGTTTTCAGTAGGCCAGCTAGTGCCCTGACATCATGCAAAACCTCAGCAGCATGAAAAACATCATTATTCAGTGCAAAATCATAATTTTCCACAGGGACTGTTTTGACAGTGAAAGACTTGCACATCAAATAAATCTTCTTTTTTTCCCCCTCTTCTTTTCTGTACTAGCTTACAAGTTCCAGTAAGACATGTGACTCAGAATAAGAAACAACCATGAGCTGTTAAAGCTAACGTATGGTTGATTTTTTCTCCTTCTTCTGTTTCTTCATATATGCTGCAATTCTCACTAAATGTATATGATTACTGCCATTTTTTTAACACTTATCTTTTTCTCTAATAATTTTCAGTGACAGGAATTTGAGATTAAAATTTTTTTTTCTAACCTGTTATTAATCAAAGTTAACATGTAGTCAAGGTATTTGATGTGTCAAGGACAGGCACACAACCAAGTTTACAGGTCTGCCTAATCCTGCACTTGTTGCTACTATTCCTTAATACCCATAAGCAGTAGCACCTCTGCACTTTAATGCTGAGACAAGAAGATTCATCTGTACACGGTTCACATGGCTGCTGTTTTATCTTGTCACACCCCTAATGCAAGCTAATGCTAACGGCAACCCCAGACTACCTTAAAATCCCAGCACGTCAGGCCATGGAAAATGTGACCTTTAAGTATTGCTAATCCCTATTTGCTAGTCCATCTCAGAAAGAGGAGGCTCTGTGCCAATACTATGAACATTTATTCTCCCAAATGTACAATGAATGTTATTTCTCTTATTGTCATTTCAATCTCTTTAGCCTCTGTCAGTGTACTGAGAAAAGATGGCTTGCCATTATACACAATTATTCAGGCATTTTAAAAACACACTTTCCACAGCACTGGTCTCAAGTACGCATAATTGATAGCAAAGTCTTTCTAAATTTTTCTGTCTCAATGGTTTCTGATACTTGGAATGAATGAGATAGGTAATAAAACTTCAATTGAATTCTGAAAAGTCTTTCAAATCCTAGTCTTTCAAATACTCCTTTAATGTTTTCTCTGATTACAGAAAATTGTAATGCATTTGTTCAAACACACACACACATATATATATAAAAGCATGTTTTAAGAAAAGCTAAACATACAGAAAATAAAATATACTAACTCAACGTATTTTTCTGTGTCTAAAATGCCTTTCAATCAACTTTTTGACCACAGTGCTGTAGGTGGAGTGTCTCTGTACAGCATGGTTTCTGTTGCACAGAAACCTCAGAATTCAGCATGTTACAGCTTCTCACCATCAAAGTACACTCCAGTACAGAAATATCTTTAAAGCCACTATTTGTATTTACTGTTAGGTGCTCCCGAATGTTTAGAATAACCACACAGCTCTGCTGCATAGCACATACTTATTTCATAATACTTATCACCAGAATGATACTGGTTAGAGTTCCTTTTTGTGGAAAGTGAAAAAAAGAACAGTAAATCAGCTAGATTTTTTTTTCTTTCTTTAAAATATAATCTTAATTACTCTGGATTGGATTTGATTTTAACTCCTTGATCTTTCTAATATTTTCTAAATCTGTCAGATAATGCTTTCTGTCACTGCTGATAAATGCATTAAAAACAATTGTATCTGAAACTACTGTTTCTATGGTGATCTGGAATGTCATTTTTCTTTTTAAATGTGCCATTCATTGTGGCTTATCTTTACACATTTATATTACGTATATATAAGGAAATTTACCACACTTTTACAGCAGTTTATAGTAGGGGTGAACTTGTATTTTCAAATGTATAGTGAAAGGCCAATAAATTCAGAGAAGATTAAGAATACTCTTCAAGATGTTTAAAAAGAAATAATCTTTTTGCATACTTTATATGTGTAAGGAAGATGAACATACTTCTCTTCCACATACTAAAATATTTTTGTGAGCAATATATTAGACAGATTCTTTATGATTTAACTTTTTTTGGGTCTCAATTTGTTAAAAACTTTTTATGTTAACCATATTCACCCAAATTAAAAGTATCTAATAAATAATGTCTAAGATAACAGACAATATTCTAGTATTGCCGAATTTTTGCTCAGTGGTAAAATTTAGCATAAATTATGTAAAACATTTTGTCTCTTTTGTCTAGGTGGAAGGCAGTGTCCAACCTACACTTAAGAAGCTCTGACTGCACTTGAACTGACAGTGCTGAGAACAAACAAGGCATACAATCCACATGAACACAAGCTTTTGAGTAGCTGTAGCTACAGTACCAAAAAATCCAGGGGGTTGTACAGTCTTATTATCATACAGCATGTTCAAAGTTCTCAGTCATGATAGTGCCATACAACAACAGATAATGTAACTTTGTCATTTGACATAAAGAACACTAGTGAGACTGAAAGAAAACACACGTACAGTGAGACAGCTAATCAACATATTTAAAAAAAGGACATCCAAAAAAGTGTATGAGTTTCAACATCTCTTTAATATTTAACTTTTTCAGCAGCAAGAATCAAATCACTAGATGTTCTTTTCTGACAATATTAGTCAAGATATGATTAATTATCTCTGCTGTTTAAACCACTATTAATTTGTAGGTGCTTTTCAGTTCACAGATTTTCTCTTCTTTAGGAGAATGAGAGGCAATTTAGGAAGTCCTTCTCTTTTTGCGGTATAATATTTTATAACGACAGTGTGAGAATTGGGGAGAATGAAAGTGGAGTGGAGGGTGGAAGTGGAACAGATAAGAGGCCAGGATTCGACTGTATTTAAAGTCTTTGTAAGCATGTGTATATAAAACACAAGGTTTGAAACATGTACACAATTTCTAAACACGGTTTTGAGGTGCTTTTATGCATAGTTTTGTATGTATTGAAAAAAGAGCTATGTGCAGAGAGTACCACAGTTACCTCTGAAACACAACGAAAAATAAGCTAATTCCATCTCTTCATATTAACTTCAACCACACTACTCTATTACATTTGTCTTAGCCCTATGGTTATTTTACTTATTTAAAGGTTATTTTAAAAAATTTAAGAGCCAAACTGCCCTCATAACAGGAATGATGGTACTGAGAAGGTAGCTTGCTAAAGCATGCAGCATTTTTGTATGTGAAGAAGTATAAATGCTGATGACTTTGTAGGATGTGAGCAAATCAGATGCTGCTTTCAAGTACTGAGAAAACTAGAAAAAAAAAAGAAGAAAAAAAAAACAACAAAGAGTGAAGAAGCCAGCTTACAAATTCCTTGATATAAATCAAGGCGAGATTTTTATGCATTTTAGATTAAATTCTAACCAAAGGTGAAACCTACTGTGTGCGCTAAAGGAGAGGCATTGACAAAAGAGGATTGTTAAAAGGACGCTTTTTCACTTCAACTCTGGCTCTTCTTCAATACCATGGAAACACCTCCCAACTAGCTCTCCATGCTCTTCATGCATAAAGCTGCAAGGGTCTTCTGAGAGGTGGTTCACGGACTACTCATTGCAATGTCTGTAAGCGGGACTGTAAACAGCCTGAATTCAAGTGTACACAGCCTGAATTCAATTATCCTCCATTTAGAGGGTAATTTGGCCTGGAACAGGCTTTCTTGTTTAATCGCTAGTAGGTAAAACTTACTTAAACTAAATAAACGAGAAGGTAATGTTGCTCAGTTGCAAGTATAAATTCTTTCACTTGCTGAAATCTAAATTTATGTGTATGTGCATGTAAATAGTGATATTGGCCACTTAGTCTTTATTTAGCTAAATTTGTAACAACAATTACATGCTTCTTAAAGATGTTAATACATCAGTGGGGGAACAGCAGCAACTATAAATACTCCCATTTAATGAATACAGTCTTCAGGATACATTAGTTACCTTTGTCGCAAGGTAGCTTTTGTTTCTTTCTGTATTTTTTGGTGGGAGTTAGTTTGGGATTATTTTATTTTATATTATTTTAATTTTTGTTTTTGTTTTCTTTTTTTAATTCAGTACCTTCTAGTAGTTTTTCTGAAATCTCACACACTTCAAGAGGCTGAGCCATAACAGCATTCTGCATTCGTCACTAACAGTCACAGCATATTTGCTAACATTTTATGTTTTCAACGTAGGAGTCCTGTGATTTTTCAAGAAATTCAGTCCGGCCAGTGGCAAAATACCAGTGATCCCTTACTTCTTCCTATCCTGATTATAAAGATATATAGCTGCTGACATAGCAAAATGAGAGAAACAGAGAATTTGCAT